AGAGGTTATAGAGCCATAAAAGTTGGTTAATACTAAGAATTGATATTAACTATTAAATGGAAATGCACTTAATAGGCAGTAAAATGAAAATGGTATAAAATGGCATGTAGAATTTGATTTCAACTGTAAAATACAGCTAAAAAGATATTTTATTTTTTTAAATATATTTTTATTGATTTCAGAGAGGAAGGGAGAGGGAGAGAGAGATAGAAACATCAATGATGAGAGAGAATCATTGATTGCTGCCTCCTGCATGCCCCACACTGGGGCTTGAGCCCACAGCCCAGGTATGTGCCCTGACTAGGACTCAAACCATGACCTCCTGGTTCATAGTTCAACACTAAACCACTGAGCCATGTAGGCCAGGCAAGACATATTTTCAAATAACTATTGTTGTGTTAAGATGGGAGGGTCACCAGTGATTTCCTTTTTATATTAGTTTTCTAAAATTTATCTAATGCTATTATTTTCTTCTACCATGGAAAATAAGTTTATATTAAACAACTAGAGGTCCGGTGCACAAAATTCATACACAGGTAGGGTCCCTCGGCCTGGCTGGCAATCAGAGCCAATCAGGGCCGATTGGGGTCCTCCAGCTGCCGGCCGGGGCCTCCCTTCCCTGGCTGCTGGCTACCGGCCGGGGCCTTCCTTCATTCCGTGCCACCCCCTGGTGGTCAGCACATGTCATAGTGAGCGATAGAACTCATGGTCTCCCGGTCAAACTTCCGCAGGGACACTTTGCATATTAGCCTTTTACATATATAGACTAGAGGCCCGGTGCATGAAATTTGTGCACAGAGATGGGGGTCCCTCAACCTGGCCTGCAACAACGCCAGCGTTCCTCGCCCCACCCTCTGGCCCGAGGCCCCTCTGTGTGGCTGGGGCACGGATGCTGGGCTCACATTGCTGGGGCGATGCCGCCAGCATCCTGCCCTGGCCACTATGGGCGCAGCCTTCTTTGTTGCAGAGTGATGGTTAATTTGCATATTACTCTTTTATTAGATAGGATACCTCAACCATGTTGACTCACTCAAAGTTTCACCACTAAACATACATAATCTTTATTGTTATACTAGAGGCCCAGTGCACAATATTTGTGCACTGGGGGAGGGAGGAGGTGTCCCTCAGCCTGGCCTGCACCCTCACAGTTCGGGACTCCCCTGAGGGGTGCTTAGTGCTGCCATGGAGACAGGAGAGGCTCCTGCCACTGCCACTGCACTTGCCAGCTGTGAGCCCAGGGCTGAGCAGCGCTCCCCTGTGGTAGCACACTGACCACCAGGGGACAGCTCCTGCATTGAGTGTCAGCCCCTTGGTGGTCAGTGCGCATCGTAGCGACCGGTCGTTCTGTCGTTTGGTCGATTTGCATATTAGGGTTTTATTATATAGGATGTTTTTAATAGCATCAAATTTAAACTAGAAATATGGCAATAACATCTGTGTGGCTCTGAAGAATGGCTAATTGTTTTCAGCTGAAGACCTTCTGTCTCCTGGTACCATTGTGTTGCTTTGTTAAATGAATGTAAATCATCCTAAGCAAATTGTCACCACTGCAAACTCTATAAAGACCCTGATGACAGGGAAGCCAGTAACAGAGAAATAAGAATGTAGATATTACAATTAGGTGATTTATAGATATTTAAAATTTTTTCTTCAACTTTGGTGATAAATTAAGTTGTTAGTGTTTGACCATTGTTAATTTTATATGGTTCAACACAATAACTTAGAAATTTTCTTGAATTATTCTGAACTGAATCTCTTCCGAACCCACCAGGTATTAACACCTTTTGCTTCCCTTTCCTAGGAAAACTCAAAAAGAAGAGCATGGCTCACAGGCTGGGCCTGCTCAAGCACAAGGAAGTCCTTTCCGTTCAATCAATATCCCCGAGCCTGTTCTTCCAAGTGAAGACTTCACAAACCTCTTGCCTTCTCAGGCCTATGAAAAAGGTACAGCTCACAAATCATATTGAATTAGCCACGAATTTTTTCCTTGATTCTGAGGGCTTAAGTAATCATCAGAATGGGCCTAAAGCCTTCATCCTTGTTAGAGGAAAATGGTGTATTGCTCAGAATTTTCCCTCTTGCATCTGGAATTTAAAAGAATCCAGAGGATCTGAGAAATCAGGAGAGTCTGCCTAATTTAAAAAATGTTTTCTTTTTTGGGAAAATACTGGGTGTTTTGAATTTCAAATGGACCAGAGATAATTTGTTGTACAACCATAAGAAGGAAAATGTTTAAAAAATTACTCTAATAAATCATTTTATTTCCCATATTACTTTCTCAATCCTTGTCTCTCTGCATAGACATTTTAAAGTAGCTATATTCTTAGCATGGATAAAACTGTGTTCTGCTTCTTTTTCAGCAAAGGTTTCACTGACATGAGAAAGATATATCTACCCTAACTGCAGGCAGTGCCCTCATGCAATCTAACTCTGTACTTCTCTTTTTCTGGAAAACCAGAGCTGGTGCTGTCTGTGGGCTGAAACAGTCACCAGCCACAACCCTGTCCTGAGAGATGTTAGGACAGATAATAGAAATTGTAGTTGGGCAGTACTGAAGAAACTGGCATTCCAAGGGATGTCCGCAGACATTGGTTAGGGACCTGTGTTTAACTCAGGAAAAGAAACAAAACAAAAAATGATTGATACTTCTTTGTATCCTCAACAAAATCTAGCAAAGCACCTACAGGAGAATGAATGTAGATATTAACAATGTTTAGGTGAATTTTCTTTTCTTTTGGTTGTATGTAGAAAGCCTCCAAAAGAGGCTCAGTGACTTCTCAACCAATTGTAAAGTCCTCAATTGGCTTAATGAACAATTTGGCTCATATAGTCAATGGCAATATATGTGTTTTGAATAACTGAATTTAAAAATCTAAATCAAATGGCTTTTAATCAGTATAAACTTTAAAGTACAGATTTGCTTTTAAAAATTTTTTTATCCACTTGAGCAGTTATTTTAGAGATGGATAGGTGCAGCCTGGGAAAACTCACTTGATCCATCTGGGATGTGGGTTTATGGTAGGTGGCTCTATATTCTTTGCTCTATGTCATGAAGAGCATGACATAAAAGATGGTCTTGTTAGGGGAGATTACAGGAGGGGCTTGGAAAGTAGAGGTCAGATCAATGCCAGGTCTGGGGCAACTAAACATTTTCACAAGAGAAATGATTAGAAATTATATTTGTAAAGTGTCCAGATGGATTTAAGTGAGCTATTTAATGGCAACTCCTCCTTCCTTCACTGTTGTGTAGGCATGGCTTATATAATTATATAACATAATTATATAAATAATAAATTATATAAATAATAATAAATTATATAACATAATTTATCCTACCAAGTTGCCGCAAAAATTTGGGGATAATATGTCACAATAAGATACTATGTGTTGGTGGTAGGTTATGTTAAACTCAAGATCAAAAGACTAAACTTTCAGAAAGGATTGACTTACCCACTATTAATTATAATACAGTACCCCCAAATTCAGTAGCTTAAAATAGCAAACATTCATTATGTCACAGTTTCTCTGAGTCATGAATATATATATACAGCTAAGCTGGGTGTCTCTGGCTCAGCTAAGCTGAGGTTGCAGTCAAGCTGTTGGCTATACCCACTCGTCCTTCCTTCTATCCATTCATCCATCCATTCACCCACCCCAGGCATTGATTTAAATGATGGGATATAGTAATGAACAAAACAACAAAAATTCCTGCCCTCATGGAGAATTGGTTCTGAAGGAAACAGACAATGAACAAGATAAATAAAATACATAATATGTTAGATAGTGACAAAGAGAAAATAAAGAAACATAGGTGTAATTTTATAGTGTGTACCAGGAAAAGACCGGAAGGAAGTGAGGAAGTTAGCTATGATACTGAGGGAAAGAAAGGGAACAGCCACTACCAATAGGAGATGCAGTTTTTTTCTTTTTAAAAGAAAGGGAATAGCAGGCAGGGAAGAAGGGCAGATATTTTAGGGTCTTAAAATCATTATACAGTCTTTGGCTTTTGCACTAAAATGGGAAGCCATCAGAGGGCTAAGCAGAAGAACGACAGGATCTGACATATTTTAACAGCACCATTCTGACTCCTCTCATTACCCTCTTCACCATCAGTTAAGCAATAATTTAGCTCTTACTGTGTGTCAGGTACCACTTTAAGCAGCTTACAAATATTAACTGATTTAATACTTATGGTAGCCTATGAGATAAGTACCACTATTACATCTTTTTACAAATGGGAAAATAGCACTTGTCACATTATATTGTGTTTTTTCCCCACTGCTGTCTCCCCCAGAAAACAGTGAATTCTGTGAGTCTGTCCCTAGTGTCTAGCTCATAGAAGGTGCCCAGTCCACGTTAGTGGAATGAATACTGATTGAAGGCTTTCCTTTCTCTGCAGCCCAAGAGTCCAGATCCATGCATATAGGAGATAGTAATGTGAAGGGAATGATGGGTCCTGGTAAGTGGCTCTTCTTTTTTCTTCTAGCAATTCCATCCTTTCCATTTTTTCACCTCCCCTGCTTCTACTCCCTCAGTGCCAAACCAAGTATTAAAGAACTCAGGCAAAATGAAGCATACTGGTTATTAAGATTCTGAGACATGTGTTGGAGTAGATCAGTGACTCAATTAAACCCAAGAACAGAGAAGGGGTGGGGAAGTTAAAGATCAAACCAGTATTTTTGATTCTTTCTGACTCCTTTCAATTACAGTACGAATGAGTTAACATTAACTGAGAACTCACAGGTGTATGTAGCATGACATAGTTGTATATGAACACACATTTTACAGTTTACTTCAGCGATTTTCAACCTTTTTCATCTCATGGCACACACAAACTAATTACTAAAATTCTGCTGTACACCAAAAAATATATTTTGCCTAACAAAAAATAGATATAATTTTATTCATTCACACAGATTGGCTATTGTTGTGTTGGCTACTATCATTTTTTTTATTTAACAATTTAATGGAAAAAGAGGTCAGGTATTGCATGTTTTAAAAATTCTTGTGGCACACTGGTTGAAAATCACTGGTTTACTTCATTAAAAAGTTATTTACTTAATAGACAAGTCACCCAAATTTTATAACTTATTTCATGTTTCCTCACTCACTTACTCCTTCCTTTCTGCAACTTACCATCATCAGGGCCAAGGGGGACAAGTTCCAAAAGCTGACACTGTCTTTGGCCCTTTCCGTCTCTTTCCGTACTTTCTTCCTAGTGCTGCAGGTACTTGATGTGCTCACCTGAAAGGAAGCAGTATGAGTCTATACATACTATACAAATTAAAATTATTTTATAAATTTATTTTTAAAAACTTACTTAGTAGAGACTATGTATAAAGAGTAGAAGTTGTATAGACCAGAAGCAGAGAGAGGTGATCCTTTGCAACTGTGGAGACTTTTAATCCTTAGTTAATATTCCATCCCAGGAGCATGATATTTAAGAATTAGTAACAAATACAATTTAAAAAAAATCAGATCTTGATGGCAAGTGTTATTTTTCAGGAATGAACCCAACGACTCCAGAAGCAGAAGAAAACCTCAAGCCTTGTCTCACAGCCGATATCCAGTCTAAGGGCCATGTGCCATCCGGTGTGTGGAGGCAGCCGAAGGATGGGAAAGAATGGGGCGAGGAATATGTCACAAAAGACCACCCAGATAAACTCAAGGAAGTTGGCCAGGGCAGACATAGTTCCTTGGAAAATGTTTTATGTGAAACTTCTTTAGCTGGTAAGCCCCAAGGGGGAATGCAGGCTGAAATTTTAAAGAACACGATGACCGAAGGGCTAGAATCCTTGTAATTTAGATTCAGTGGACATATGCGACTGCCTCGTATATGATTTCCTTTCCAGATAACTAGCCAAAGCCTTATAGAGGTCACAATCGCCAGCTGGGACTACTACCTTGATTCTGGGTATCCACTCATCTAAAAAATATATATTTTTATTGCCTGGCCAATGTGGCTCAGGGGTTGAGCATCCACACATGAACCAGCAGGCCATGGTTCGATTCCCAGTCAGGGCACATGCCTGGGTTTCAGGCTTAATCCTCAGTAGTGGTCTTGCAGGAGGCAGCCAATTGATTCTCTCTCATCATTGATGTTTCTCTCTCTCTCTCTCTCCCTCTCCCTTCTCTGAAATCAATACAAATGTATTTTGAAATGTATTTTTTATTGATTTTTGTTTAAAAATGTATTTTATTGATTTTTTACAGAGAGGGAGGGAGAGGGTTAGAGAGTTAGAAATATCGATGAGAGAGAAACATCGATCAGCTGCCTCCTGCACACTCCCTACTGGGGATGTGCCTGCAACCAAGGTACATGCCCTTGACTGGAACCGAACCTGGGACCCTTCAGGCCACAGGCCGACGCTCTATCCACTGAGCCAAATCGGCCAGGGCTTATTGATTTTTTTAAGGGAGAAGGAGAGAGAAAAAATATATCTTTTTGCACTATGAACCGTAACCTCCTGGTTCATGAGTCAAAGCTCAACCACTGAGCCACACCAGCTGGGCAATGTTGAGCATCTTTTCATATGCTTATTGCTTTCAATATCTTTGTATTGCTTTTATCATTTGATAGGGTTTTGGGGAGAAGTAGTTAACAATTCCTTCCTTGGTTTGCTTTTAAAGCTAAAAGACAGACTGTGGCTCTAGAACTGCTTGAATCAGAAAGAAAATATGTCATTAACATCTCTCTGATCCTGAAGATCAAGGCAACATTCCAGGGGTCAGATGGAAAGAGGAATTCCAAAGAGAGAAGGTATCCATGTATTCATTGCCTTTGCTTTTCAGATTGATTAAGATTTAAGGTAAGTGTTTACTATTTCCACTTTGGGAATTCTGGGACCTGTAAAGAGTTCCAGAAGTAGTCTTTGAAAAGAGAATATGCAACGACAGGAAGTAACCTCTGGTTTTCTAAGCTTTTTTGGAAGCCTCCATGTGTACTTTAAATAGATCAGCTGAATAAGATACAGAACAGAATGAGAGCATTCCTCTTCCCTATTGGTGTTTTTCCCCATGCAAAACTGAAAATAAATTTATTAAGATTAACTACATTTCCTATAAAAATTGTAAGCTTTCTGCACTTTCTACCCCTGTGGGAAAGTGAGCAGGGTGTGAAAATCACACACTCCATAACTACAATCTGACACTCAAACCTGAGGTTGTCACGTTTTCTCAAGTCTATAAAACTTCAGGTTTTCCTAGAAAAAAGCACAGTGCTCAAAAGCCCCTTCAGCCTGTTTCAAGGCATCCCTGCCCCTCACTGAAGGGCTGGAAGCTGCAGAGGCAGGGCTTTTAGCAGAGAAGCCTGAGTGGGGCTTGTGGGCTGTTGCTCATTTGTTGGAGGATCACAGAAGTTGGGGTTCTTGGATTTTTCTGGTCTGATTCACCCAGATAGAGCCACAGCCTCAGGATCAGTCTTGTATGAATATTTTTTTTGAGGGGGGGGGGAGGGGTCAGCTCCATAGGATTGCCAATTAGCCTTACAAGCTGAACTTCAGGGCCACATCCACCAAGAACTCAGGTTGTATGGTGCAGGTCACCACCAGATGGCACGTATTATTTTTTTCTTTTTAAATTCTTTGTTGTTTAAAGTATTACTTATGTCTCCTTTTTCCCTCACTGACTTTCCCCCAGCCGCTCCCACCCCCCAGCACATGCCTTTATCCCCCCTACTATGTCCGTTGGTTATGCTTATATGCGTATTTGCAAGTCCTTTGATTGACCTCTTACCCCCCTGCACCCACCACCACCCTGCCTTCCCTCTGAGGTTGGACGGTCTATTTGATGCTTCTGTCTCTGGATCTATTTTTGTTCATCAGTTTATGTTGTTCATTATATTCCACAAATGAGTGAGATATATGATATTTATCTTTCTCCAACTGGCTTATTTTGCTTAGCATAATGCTCTCCAGGTCCATCCATGCTGTTGCAAGTGGTAAGAGTTCTTTCTTTTTTACAGCAGCATAGTATTCCATTGTGTAAATGTACCAGTTTTTTAACCCACTCATCTGTTAATGGGCACTTAGGCTGTTTCCAAATCTTAGCTATTGTAAATTATGCTATGAACATAGGGGTGTAAATATCCTTTCTGATGGGTATTTCTGATTTCTTGGGATATATTCCTAGAAGTGGGATTACTGGGTCAAATGGGAGTTCCATTTTTAATTTTCCACAGTGGCTGCACCAGTCTTGCATTCTCATCAGCAGTGCATGAGGGTTCCTTTTTCTCTGCATTATCGCCGGCACTTGTCGTTTGTTGATTTGTTGATGATAGCCATTCTGACAGGTGTGAGATGGTACCTCATTGTTGTTTTGATTTGCATCTCTCAGATGATTAGTGACCTTGAGCATGTTTTCATATGTCTCTTGGCCTCTTTCAAAAAGTGTCTATTTAGGTCCTTTGCCCATTTTTTGATTGGATTGTTTATCTTCCTTTTGTTAAGTTGTATGAGTTCCCTGTAAATTTTGGAGATTAAACCCTTATCAGTGATAACATTAGCAAATACGTTCTCCCATGTAGTGGGCTTTCTTCTTGTTTTGTTGATCGTTTCTTTGCTGTGAAGAAGCTTATTTTGATGTACTGGTTGTTCCATTTATTTTCTCCTTAGTTTCCATTGTCCTAGGAGCTGTATTGGTAAAGATATTGCTACAACATATGTTTGATATTTTGCTGGCTATGGATTCTTCTAAGATTTTTATGGTTTCCCGTCTTACGTGTAAGTTCTTTATCCATTTTGAGTTTATTTTTGTGTATGATTAAGTTGGTAGTCTAGTTTCATTTTTTTGCATGTCCAACACCATTTATTGAAGAGACTGTCTTGACTCCATTGTAAGTTCTTGCCTCCTTTGTAAAATATTAATTGAGCATAATGGCTTGGGCCGATTTCTGGGTTCTCTGTTCTGTTCCATTGGTCTACTATATATGTCTGTTCTTGTGCCAGTACCAGGCAGTTTTGAGAACAGTGGCTTTGTAATATAGCTTGATATGTGGTATTGTGATCTCTCCAACTTGTTCTTTTTTCTCTGGACTGCTGTGGCTATTCGAGGTCTTTTTTTATTCCATATGCATTTTTGGAGAATTTGTTCTAGGTCTGTGAAATATGCCGTTGGTATTTTAATGGGGATTGTATTGAATGTATAGATTTCTTTGGGTAGTATGAACATTTTAACGATGTTGATTCTACCAATCCATGAACACAGTATATTCTTCCATTTGTTTATGTCTTCCTCTATCTCTTTTTTTCAATGTCCTGTAGTTTTCCGAGTACAGGTTTTTACTTCCTTAGTTAAGTTTATCCCTAGTATCTTAATTTTTTTGTTGCAATAGTAAATGGGATTTGTTTGTTTGTCTTTCTGTGAGTTCATTATTAGTGTATAAAAAAGCCATACATCTTGGGTGTTAACTTTGTATCCTGCTACATTGCCAAATTCATTTATTAAGTCTAGCCGTTTTTTTTTATGGAGTCTTTAGGGTTTTCTATGTACAATATCATGTCATCTGCAAATAAGATGGCACATATTTATCAAATTTGGTTATATCTAGCTGGGGAAGTTCAGGAGTTATTTGGGCTAATACTGAACTGCAAGAGCTAACTTATCAATTTGAAACTATAACTGGATTTCCCCTGATTGCTTTTATTTCCCTCATTATTTAAGTACTGGACTGTGAGAGTTGAAGTAATTTTGGAGGCTTTCAAAAGAATATGCTAACTACTATGTTTACATAATTTCACTCCTAGTAAGGAACAGAAAAAAAGTTGAGCACTCAATACTTCCATCGTCATGAAAAAGTTGCTTCTGGGAGTCAGGTCTGGATTATACAAAACAGTGAAGTAGGGTCAGTATGTTTTGCCTTCTTTCTTCCTCTGTTCTTCATCTCCTGGCTCACTTCTTCCATATCACTTCCTGATTTCAAATAATATCCTTATTGAATTAAAAAAAACTCTTTTTAAGGCCTGTTTTCAATATGTGGTATAGAATCCACTGTAGGTCATTGCTCTTCATGTAACTTATGTGTTTCCATGATACTTGATGGGAGCTGTAGCCTTCTCTGACCCCACCCTGAAATCTCAACTGTTATCCCAGTGACAGTCCAGGAGGTATCCTGGACTCCAACCAAGTTACCAGCTCTCCAACTCTGCAAGTACACTGGCCACAGTGTAGCAGAAGGCAGTGTTCTCAAAAGAAGAGGAGGGAGGCAGAAAGAAAGGAGGAGAGACTGAGATAAGGCAGAGCAGAAGAGAGTCCCAGTGAGGCCAGAGGAGAGGAGAGGAGAGGAGAGGAGAGGAGAGGAGAGGAGAGGAGAGGAGAGGAGAGGAGAGGAGAGGAGAGAATCCAATACAAGACAGATTACATAACCTATATAGACACCCATCCCATAGTCTGATTTCATCACCGTGCCCGAACACCTTTCAGTGTCACACCAGCATTATTATTACCCAAAGTCATTGGTAGCCTCTCGGTGGGGAGAAACTCTTATCTAACTCTCTTGTTAGTGCAGCATTACATTCTTTCAGTTCAATCAGCTGAGCTTTCTTCCATCAGCTTTACAGTCTTCTCCCAGTCCAGCTGTCTCTGGGCCACCCTCCAAATCTCTCTGTTCTGGACAGGGATTACTTAGATCTTCCAAGTCCACTGCACCAGCCTAAGAGCTCAGATCAGGAGGCCTCTCCTCTTGAGCTTCTGGATCAGTTGGCCTCACATATGTGGAGACTGGTGGCCTAGCAGGTGGAGGGGCGGCAGAGAGAAGTGGAAGAAATCCTTGTAACATGGTTCAACACACAATAGTATAGGAGCCATCAGGAAAGGGGCCTTTTTATATCCTGAAGATATCTGCTGTCAGGTCTACAAAGACACATGTTTCTTTCTTTTTTAAAAAAATATATTTTTATTGATTTCAGAGAGGAAGTGAGAGGGAGAAAGAGATAGAAACATCAATGATGAGAGAAAATCATTGATCAGCTGCCTCCCGCAAGCCCCACACTGGAGATGGAGACTGCAATCCTGGCATGTGCCCTTGACCAGAATCGAACCTGGGACTCTTCAGTCCGCAGATCGACACTCTATCCACTGAGCCAAATCAGCTAGGGCCAAACTTTTATTTCTTAATCCTAAATGTAGACCTGTGACTCAGAATAGTTTGAATAACTGGGAAAATGGGACCTACTGCACATATTCTTAAAGGGTTTTTTCTTCTCCACACCTGGCTTGTGTGATCCTGTCTCTCTTCTGTTTCAAGCCTCTTCCCTGGCTCTTTACGGTACCTTGTCCAGCAGCACCTAGATTTGCTTCATGCTCTGCAGGAAAGGGTCCTGAAATGGCCACGCCAAGGAGTCCTTGGAGATTTATTCCTGAAATTAACAAATGATGAGGTAAGTTTTTTAAAATTTTTTTTTTTTTAGTAACTCAATAAATATTTAGTTAAGCAAATTCACCAACACTGAGCACCTACCATGGACCAGCACACAGCCTGGAAAGTCGTAGGTGCTCAAACTATGCTGAATGGTTAAGTGATTGTTGGAAGCAGGAAATGTAGGAGCGGAAATGGGGAGGAAAGAGATCTCTCTGTGTCCCATGTCGTCTTCCGTCTCTCCCACAGCTCCGGGGTAAAAAATTCTTTATAAATTTGAATTATATTCATGTCTCCCTCATCTACTTCTCTTAATAGAGAATCTAAAATCAGTGAATTTCAGAATTAAAGGAACTGCTAAGATCTAACCTCCTCATTCTACAGATAATGAAATAAAGTTCAGAGAACTTAAAACTGCTGAAACCACCCAGCTAGCTAGATAGTTGCAGATCTGTGACTAGAACCCAAGTTTTCTCATTTTCAGTTTATCACTTTCCACTGTACTATAACTGCTGCCATTGAACATGCATGTGTGTGTATGTACATATATGTATTTGTGTAGAAATATATGCATGTACATATAAATCCATACATATAAAATAAGTATGTGAAGGTTTATATATAGGTTATGTACTTTCACTTACTTCATTCCCTAGAGATTTGAAAAATGTGATGGGCAGCTATTTGTCTGGAATGTTTTTTGTTTTCACTTGGAGAGGGTCTTAAGTTTCAAATTTCTATGTGGTTCTACAAATTAAATATGATCCAGGCCAGAAATTGCAAACTCAAATACCTACAAAGTAAGCTGAGTTTAATACAATATGGACTGTTGGTAAGTGAGTTTAAGTGGAGCACATATGCTTTGCTACAAGGAATAGCTACTCACCTTTATCCAATTATTATGTAGAGGGGAAAAGACTCAAGTTGCCAGATCTGATTTTTTTTTTTTTTATATTTTATTGATTTTTTTTACAGAGAGGAAGGGAGAGAGATAGAGAGTCAGAAACATCGATGAGAGAGAATCACCGATCAGCTGCCTCCTGCACATCTCCCACTGGGGATATGCCCACAACCCAGGTACATGCCCTTGACCGGAATCGAACCTGGGACCTCTCAGTCCGCAGGCCGACGCTCTATCCACTGAGCCAAACCGGTTTCGGCCAGATCTGATATTTTAAGAGCAGATGGAAATCCAAAATTTTGTGTGAAATTTTCTTCTTAAAAACAGTATGTGGGATAATTAAAACTAGTCTGCAAGCCAGATTTTGCCTGTAGTCAAATCAAGGATTGTGGATAATAATACAAAGTTTACAAATTGTCTAGTTGTATAGATTTGTTTGATTTTTTTTTCCACATCACTTTTACTCATTTGTATTTGGCATGCTTTCTTGGGCTGAGAATTGTTATTTCTGTGGGAATATAACTTTGGAAGCTGAGAATTGTTTTCCTGAAGGCATATTGCATAGGTGAACATGCAATTAGTGGGAAAAAGTTGAGAACCACTTGTTTAGCCACTATGAAGTAGGTTGGACAAAGTTCCTCATTTGGATGTAGATGATTGAAATTAAAAGTAATTTTAGGAGACCGGATGAAAGAAGGTGAAGGGATTAGCCAAAGAACATATATGCTTAGCTATGAACACAGTGTAGTTATGGCCAGAGGCAGGTGTAGGGCGGGCTGGGTATAAAGGAGGGGCAGAATGGGGGACAACTCAACAATAAAAAATAAAAAAAATTTAAAAAGTAATTTTAAAACAAAATATGCGTTTTTGTCATTAAGCAATTTAAAAATACTTTTTCAATTTATGTAATTCCTCTTCTCTGCCTTGGTTTATTTATCATTTCATTTTCTCTCATTAAAGCAGGAATATTGAGTTTTGGTTCCCAAGTCCATAGGCATATCTACCTTAAAACAAGTTTTTTAAAAAAAGATGAATAAAAACCAAAAACATATTAATGAACATATTAAATGAATAATTAAGCTAAATCTCTGCAAAGTGCTTTTTATTTCTTTAAAAAATAGTTATCATTCCTGTTTTCAGGTTCTTACCATGCATTTTTATATTTGTTTTCAAGAATAATTTCTTGGATTATTATGTTGCCTACCTGAGGGACCTGCCTGAATGCATCTCTTTGGTTCATGTTGTTGTTCTGAAGGAGGTAAGTTCACTCTACCTGTGCACGGCCCTTTGGTTACATGTGTAGTATATGATGCTGCTCATCCTCCCAGGAAATACAGCAAATGCACTCGGAGCTTGTCCTCCAGGTTGGGAATGGTTTGAACAGAGCCACTGACACTCCTCCCTGGGGTTAAAGAAGCTCACTCAAGGATCAGTACCATTGCTTTGGTCCTTGCCCTCCCTGCCTTGCTGACCCTGTTCCATTCCACTGGAAGTTAGGCAAAGTAAACAGATTTTCTAAGCTACAGCCTGCATGCTGTATGAGGGTTTTTGTTTTGTTTTGTTTTTAGATGATATGATCTGAATTTATATAATCTAAATATTAAACTTAAGGCATTCTGTAACTGTCAGTTTCTAAGATTATAAAGTGATTCTAGTCATGTAGCTTTAAGAGTTGCTAATGTAGTCCTAGCTGGTTTGGATCAGTGGATAGAGTGTCAGCCTGCAGACTGAAGGGCCCCGGGTTCAATTCCGCCAGGGTTGTGGGCATGATCCCCAGGAGGAGGTGTGCAGGAGGCAGCCAATCAATGATTCCCTGTCATCATTGATGTTTCTATCTCCCTCTCCCTTCCTCTTTAAAATCAATAAAAATGTACTTTAAAAAAGAATTGCTAATGCAATGCTATATTAGGTGCTCAACATGCACATATACTGGTAAGTATGTAACAATTCTAGTTATTTTAGGTTAATAGGAAGAAACCATAACAGAAGCCCTAAAGTTAAGAGTTAATAAAATTTCGTAAGAGGTGAGGTCTTAATTTTCTATATTACCTCATTACTCCCAACCCAGTATAATGCCTACCACATGTTAGTACTCAGAAAATATTTGAGAAAAGGAAAGGACGGGAAGAAGAATGGAGAAAGTCCAACATGTTTCCTGCTGCCAAGCCAGCTGGCCAATTTCTAATCACATCCCATAACCCACTCTCATGAGACTCCAATCGACCCCCAGTGCTTATTAGCAAACCATTGTCATGATTACTTGTAGAACCTTAATGAATCCACTCAAGTTAAATATAATTTTGTTTGTTTCTTAATCCTCACCTGAGGATATTTTTCCATTAGTGTGTAGAGAGTGGAAGGAAGAGGAAGAGACAGTGAGAGGAAAACATTGATGTGAGAGAAACACATTGATTGGTTGCCTCCCATATGCACCCTGACTGGGGCTGGGGATTGAGAATGCAACCGAGGTACGTGCCCTTGACCAGAATCGAACCTGGGACCCTTCAGTCCACAGGCAACACTTTATCCTCTGAGTCAAAACAGCTAGGACTTAAATATAATTTACTGAATGCCCACTTTTGTATAGCGCTGTGCTACTATCTGGAGGTGGGATGGACGGGGTAGTTTGGAAAGTTGGGTGGATTCAAAAGAAGTATATGATACTCTCCCTACTAGAGAAGAGTTGTCTCCTTGAGCATGTCCTTGAACAAGTGACCTATCCAATAAAGATCAATGCTTTATCTCACTCTAGTCTAGAGGAAGAAAATGCTCTGGGAGTAAACCTTTTCTATTTTGCTGGGACTGATACTAGGGTTTGCAGCCAGAGCTGGAGGGACATTGAAGAATGGTTCTATCTTTTTTTCATTCAGGGTGATGAAGAGATTAAATCTGACATCTATACACTGTTTTTTCATATAGTCCAGCGCATCCCTGAATATCTGATACATCTGCAGGTAGGCATGTCTGGGAAAGCTCCCAAAGTGATTTTCAGGCTAAACTCTTGATTTTGGCTTTTGAGAAACACTGGCAGGGATCAGGAAGGAATAATTAATATTTCTAAGTATTTAAATACCTTAAGATTGTTATGATTTCCCCATCCCCACCTTGTGGTATGAGCTAAAATCTCAATCTCTAAATGTGCTTGGTTCATGATGCCGGCTTTTTATGCTCTATCTTCATTTACCAGCAATCTCCACCTCTGCTGATCCAGGATCTTTCAATAGCAGCTCCTGCTAGGCTCTGAGTACCTATTCAGTCCCTTCTACCTTGATTCTACAGCCATCTAAATATGTCCCCTAATCCCCACTCCCCCCCAACCTACCCCAGTGACTAAGAACTATTTATGTAACCTGCCCACTTAACCTGCCTACCTTTTTTTTGGCTTGATTCCAAGGGTTCACTATACATTGCTTCTGTCTTATGTCACTAAAGAAGTATGAAGAAAATGATGAACTGACTTCTTCACACCCTTTTCCCACAGGACTTGTCCACCTTGGAGGAAGTAGAGTTGAGAGAGAGGCTCATCAACACCCTTACCTGCCCCTCTTCCTACCACTCATTATCCTGGTTTATTTGCTGCTGATCTTTCTAAGTAATTCAATGAAGCATCTTAGAAATGCTTGGGATTTATCTCAGATAGAAGTAGCCCAGTATCAATATCAAAAGACCTTCTATTATATGTGGCTGTTGATCTTAAAATCATTTCTTCACAGTAATTATTTTCTTTAATCCTTTCAACAGTCTCATGAAACAGGTATCATTATTACCACTTCTTAGATAAGGAAATGGAGAGACAAATAACTTAAATAACTTGCCCACGTTAACACACCTAATAGATGAAAAAATTTGGAACTGAAATCCAGGTCTTGCAAGCAGTATGATAAATAAGAGCCCTGGTTCTATTGGCTGACTTGAGTTCAGATCCTGGCTCTGCTACTAACTAGATGTGTAACCTAATGAAGACTAGCTGACTTTGCTATATACCCTGATTCCCTTGTTAAACGAAGGTGATAATGGTACCTATCTTATGAGGCTATGGTAAAAATTAAATGAGAAAATATATGTGCAGGCTTAGAGCTTGGCAATAGGAAGTACTCAATAAATGTTAGCTTTTCCAAATTCAAGTTGTATGATGTTCTACTACAGCACAGTAGGCAATGTAATAGGAGCAACCACCAAGCCAACCACCAGCAAGCCATAAACATCACTCCTCTTCCAGAGTGCCTTGGTATTTATTTCACATTTTTACCATTGGTTTGACTCCTATGAGTCTCATAAATGTTGCTTTTTCAGCAGTAATTGTTAAAACGGGCTCCATTACCTCAAAAAATCTAATTAATAGATCCAACTTTTCAGATGGAATTATCCTATGTTCACATCCAACTCAAACAAGAGCAATAGTGACTATTATTTTCCTTTGGTGTGATGGACAAAGAAAACGGCAAGTGTGATTTTTCAGCTTATAATTAGATGGGCCATATGTATTGTTGTTTTTAGTAAATGGCTACCAAACTCTCACAGCACATCAAGGCAAGGTACAGAAGAAACAAAACAACTTTTCATTCTAATTATGCAATGCTGCTTCCTTTTTTCCTTCATCCAGAACGTCCTGAAGTTCACAGAGCAGGAACACCCTGACTATTACCTACTTCTGGTGTGTGTTCAGCGCCTTCGAGTATTTATCTCACACTACACCCTGCTGTTTCAATGCAATGAGGATTTGCTTATTCAGAAACGGAAAAAGCTCAAGAAGTAAGGTTCTGATGGTGCAGTCTAGAGGGTTGATCTAAGGCTTCTGAGAACAGGGTAGAAACAATGTGGGTGTCTGTAACAAGTAACCATATTATATACTCAGTGGCTAACATGCAGTGACAGGAAGTAGAAGAGAGAAGGGGAGGGAAGAGAGGTAGCCAAAATGGCTAGAATATGTAGGCACCTACTACCTGGTGGAAATTAGAAAAATAGGCACGTTCAGCCTAATGCCAATACAGACCCCCCCCCCTTAACTCATGTTGACTATCACAAAAATAGTTGTTCCCCTAAACTTGCCAGGTTTAAAAATACAGTTTCAAGGCCAGCATGTGGTTTCTTTCATTAATTCAACAGACAGTTATTGAGCACCGATTTGTGTGTATCAGGTACTGTTCTATACAGAATATACTGCAATAAAAAATACAGACAAAAATCTTTGCCACATGGAGCTTACTTTCTAGACCTGGTCATCCAGCTAATAAATAAGTTAGATGCCGATAAGTGCTATGAATAAAAATAAAACAAGTAAGGGAGGGGATGGTGGTTGAATAGATTTCATGCTAAGAAGGAACAGGAAGATTAGGGAGAATCGGGGCTTCAGAGAGAATAGAAGCAACAATAGCAGAGCTTCCTAATGACCTGGATTTCCTTCAACCTCATCACATCTCAATAAGGAACACTGAGTCTGTGGGTACTTTCAGACAAGAGAAAGGTGCTATCTTCCAAGCCATGGCTCCTCTAATGGAGAACATCTCCCTATACTATCCCTTTCCTACTCAATTCAGCCAATTAATCAGCATCATTACTCTTGCCTAACATCCAGTTTGTACCCTATTATGTAAGCAATCGAGTATGTAGAGGGCCCTGGAGAGAGAACTTTACAGCTGAGCTTCATCTGAGAAACACTGTCTCCCCCCTATCTTTCTTGCCATAATCTGCGTGTTCTGAGAGCCAGTTTCCCACTGTGTACTCTGAGAATTATTACTTCCATTCTATTAGGTCATCCATGGCGAAGCTGTACAAAGGGCTGGCTTCCCAGTGTGCCAATGCTGGGCAAGACGCTTCCCCCACTGCAGGCTCTGAGGCTGCCCGCGACAGTGGGATCCACTCAGAAGAGATGCTGCAACCCTACTCTCCTGCTCCAGGTTCTGGCCCTGCTATCACGTAAGCACCTGTTGCTGTGGAGATTAATGACAAGGCCTTGGGGTCCCAGGTGGTCTGTGTGGGGTAGCTGGCCAGCCTGGATTAGGAGTATGACCAACAGAACTCCTCCCTCCCTCTTGCCCCATCAAGTCTCTATGTAACAGGCAAGCAGTTGACCCAATGTTTGTGTCCTAGAGGAAGGCACTAAGAATGCTAAGGGGCGGCCTAGAGGCTGAGGTTACTCCCAACAACTGGATTGCAGGTAACCATCCTCTATACCAGCGGTTCTCAACCTGTGGGTCGCGACCCCTTTGGGGGTCGAACGACCCTTTCACAGGGGTCGCCTAAGATCATCGGAAAACACATATATAATTACATATTGTTTTTGTGATTAATCACTATGCTTTAATTATGTTCAATTTGTAACAATGAAATTGGGGGTCACCACAACATGAGGAACTGTATTAAAGGGTTGCGGCATTAGGAAGGTTGAGAACCACTGCTCTATACCTACAGCCTAAGTCTCTGGGTTTGAACAATGACAGTCTGAAAAGAGTGCCATAAGAAGACAGGAAGGCATTTTACAAACCCTCAGAAGGATGGGAACCCACTTAAGGTCACCAAAACAGAGAGTGGAGGGAAAGGGAATCCCAGTCAGGGGTCAGTAAAAAAGTCTGGGCCCTGAGGATAAGAAATGGGTCTGAGCCCTCTTTGGCTCAGTGGATAGAGCCTTGGCCTGCGGACTGAAGGGTTGTGGGTTTGATTCCAGTCAAAGACACATGCCTGGGTTGCAGGCTCGAACCCCAGGAAGTGGCATGCAGAAGGCAGCCAATCAATGATTCTGTCATCATTGATGTTTTTCTCTCTCCCTTCCTCTCTGAAATATATAAATATATAGATAGATAGATGATAGATAGATAGATAGATAGATAGATAGATATAGATATGTCTGAGGTGATCCAGAAAGAATATTGTTCAGCCTTTCCCAATTCTCCTTGAAGCTTTCTCAGAAAGTGACTTCATAAGCCCTTCTTCACTTCTGGTAGCTTCTCTGAAAGCTGTTCTGAGCAGTGGATGGACCTGACAGCCTTTCAAGGTCTCTGCATACAACCCTCTAACACACTAAGCTGAATTCTCATTCTGCAAACTTTCTTGATGATCTTTAATGATTAGACATTTATACATCTGGGACCTATTTTACTTCTGAAAGAAAAGGATAAAGTCAACTTGGCTACTTTAGGAACCAGGACTTCTGGAAGGAAAAGGGAAACCAAAAACTCAAAATTCCAAATCCCCACTTTACCAAATACAGACAATTCTACAGATAATTTCTGCTTTGGGTTTTATTCTTTAAAAAAAATAAAAAATAAAAAAATATCTATCTACCTATCTATATATAGATAGGTAGATAGATAAATTTTACTGGTTTCAGAGAGGAAGGGAGAGAAGGGAGAGATAGAAACATCAATGATCAGAAGAATCATTCTTAGCCTGCCTCTCGCATGTTCCCCACCGGGGAACCGAGCCCGCAACCCAGCCAGTGCCCTTGACCAGAATGGAACCCAGGACCACTCAGTACGCAGGCCGACGCTCTCTCCACGGAGCAGAACCAGCCAGGGCGAGAGAGGGGAGAAAAGAGTTACCTCGGGGCCCTGACACGTGTGGGGAGGGGCAGCGCTCCCACGTGGGGAGTGATGCCCATCCTGGGCGCACCAGCCATCTCTACGCAGTGCCTCTGTGCTCGGGCGGGGGCTCCAGGCGCCCACTTTTCAACAGGTCATTTCCACGCTCCTGCTTGAAGGGGCCGGGGCTCGTGGGCGCTTGGCAGGTACCACATGGCGGTGCTTGGGCGGGGCAGGGAGCAGAACAGGCAGTTTCGCGCCCCAGCGGCGTCAGGCTCCGTGTGGCCCCCCGGCCTGCGCTAACCAGCCGTACGCACCCCTCTTCTGCCTTGTCTCCCCTGTAAAGGCACCTGATGCCCCCCATGAAGAAAGGCCAACAGCAGCAAAGCCTGATGGACAGCATGCAGCCCGGGAAGCCCGGCGACTGGGAGATGGAGGGCAGGAAGCACGAGAGGCCCGACAGCCTCCTGGCGCCGGCGCAATTCTGCCCCGCCGAGCAGGACGGGAAGGCGCTCTCCGGGCCCCTGCAGTCCATCCCGGAGATGGACTTCGAGCCTTCGCCCGCCGAGCCCTCGCTGGGCAACGTGGAGCGCTCCCTGCGCGCCCCGGCCGAGCTGCTGCCCGACGCCCGCGGCTTCGCGCCCTCGGCCTACGAGGAGTTCGAATACGGCGGCGAGCTCTTCGCGCTGCCCGCGCCCTACGACGAGGAGCCTTTCCAGGCGCCGGCCCTCTTCGAGAACTGCTCGCCCGCCTCCTCCGAGTCCAGCCTGGACATCTGCTTCCTGCGGCCCGTCAGCTTCGCCATGGAGGCCGAGCGGCCGGAGCACGCGCTGCAGCCGCTGCCCAAGAGCGCCACGTCGCCGGCGAGCAGCAGCGGCGCCTACAAGCTGGAGGCGGCGCAGGCGCAGGCGCACGGCAAGGCCAAGCCGCTGAGCCGCTCGCTCAAGGAGTTCCCGCGCGCGCCGCCCGCCGAGGGCGTGGCCCCGCGCCTCTACAGCACGCGCAGCAGCAGCGGCGGCCGCGCGCCGCTCAAGGCCGAGCGCGCCGCGCAGGCGCACGGCTCGCATGGCTCGCACGGCTCGGCCGCCGCCGCCGCCGCCCGCGGCGCGCCCAGGACCTACTTCCCCCAGCAGAGGTCCCAAAGCGAAAAGCAGACCTATTTGGAAGTAAGGAGGGTAAAGTAAAACCGAACCCAAACCCGGGCCTACCTGTCCAGGGAGCAGCCTGGCCTCACCTGCAGCGTGGAGGGGGCCTTGCCAGGTGGGGAGCGGCCGGCTGGGCGAGTCCCAACGGCCTGTTCAGGCAGGTGCTGGGGTCAGGGCTTGTCCTAACCTCAGTTGCCCTCAAGGGAGAGTGTTAGCGTCCGCCCTCCACTTGGCACCGAGACACAGCTGGCATGCCCTGCATGGATATGTATGACGGCAAAGAGATCTAAAAGACACACCTGCTTCCCCGCCACCCCCGCACCCACGGAAAGAGTTAGGGGTCTCCTCTGCCTTCCTGCACAAGCTGCAGCACCTCAGGGTGCTTCACTTTTAAATATATATATATATATATATATATAATTTTTTACAGAGAGGAAGGGAGAGGGATAGAGAGTTAGAAACATCGATGAGAGAGAAACATCGATGAGAGAGAAACATCGATCAGCTGCCTCCTGCATACCCCCTACTGGAGATGTGCCCGCAACCAAGTCACATGCCCTTGACCGGAATCGAACCTGGGACCCTTGAGTCCGCAGGCTGATGCTCCATCCACTGAGCCAAACCGGTCAGGGCAGGGTCCTTAACTTTCAAAGCATGGCAGGCAAGTCCCCGCCTGCCTGTTTCTTCCTTTGCCGGTGAGGCACACACACCTCCTTGTTTAAATGTTCACAATATCCAACACTGCCGCCTCACTCCACTCCCTGACCCGTGCCAGCTCGCGTGCAGCTCGGGCAGACACGAGTTGCCCTGCCTCACTGTGGACTCCCTGCAAAGTTCACGGCAAAGACAAGCTCGTTTCCCGTTGACTGGAAACAGGTGTCACGTGACTTCGCAGACTCCCGCGGGACGGAGACAACACAAAATAGGCAGGGAAGCATTGATCCACCAGCTGGCCTCCATGTCACCGTTTTGCTATCTGACCTTGGTCTGAAAGTTTGGGGACAGTTCAGGAGGTCAGACCCTCGTCTTTAGTCTTTAAGAAAGAAAGACAGTATGCTTTCTGCAAAGAACACCTGACTAGGTGTGGGGAGATCTGTGTTCTAGTCCTGACTCCGCTGCCAAATAGCTGTGGGCTTCTGGTCAGGGCGCTTGGCTTCTCTGTGCCTCCAGTTTTCACATCTGTAAAAATAAGACAATATATACCTTCCCCACCTCACAGTGCTGTTGTGAGGATCAGGACAAAGAAGATAAACTTGGTCAATATGCTTTTCAAAGTACGGAATGCTATACAAGTGCAAGATATTATCAAGAGCATGATGCCACAGAAAGATTTTCCTTAAACGATTAATAGACTTAGTTTCTAAATAGTCCCTAAAAGCCCATTTCTCAAAGTGTGGTTCTTGGGCCAGGAATGAATGAATGCATTACCTACCTGGGAGCTTGTTATAAATGCAGAATGTGGGCCCCCTCCCAGACCTACTGAATCAGAATCTGCATTTTAGCCAGATTCCTAGAAACATGAAGTGCAGTTGGGCAGGAGCGTAACCTACACCACAGCTTTTCAAAATCTTAAGTGTGTGTAACTCCAGAGATTCTGGTTCAGAAAATCTGGGTGGGGCTTAGGGATCTATATTTTAAATAAAGGCCCCAGTTGATCCTGTAGCCCCAGGACCACACTTTGAGAAATACCACACTAACCCATCAAGATGTTGGTCTCCATGGTTTAGTTTTGAACCTTAGTAGAATATCAGAGAATCTCTAGATCTGCTACTACAATCCCAAGTTAAGGTCTCAAATTCAAACCCATATGTTTCTTGAAGAAAAAAAAAAAAATTCATCCCCGATCTTTGCTTCTCTATCAGCAAGCAGTTATCCATCTAATTCATGAAACTTTCAGGGTGGCTTTTGTTTTGACTTCTTGGGTTCAAAATTAAGCATCTATTTTTGTTTGCTTTAAATTGCAGTCACCTTTAAGTAAATATTTTGTTCATATGGAACATAAATGTATATTCATATCTATTTTAGTTAGCACATCTCACAGTTAAAAAGAAACTAGAGAGTTCACAAAAGATAGAGCCTTATTTTTAGTTTACAGTTCCAAATTCCATGAACTAAGTAAGAATTGTAAAAGCTGTATTGAAGGCATATGTGCAGGTTGGACATATTAATTGATACTTACTTTTAAACAGATATGACCTCTTAAAAACTCCTTCTTTTATGTCTAAAATGAAGAGTTAGGAACATTAGTTTAAAACTACTATTACAGTCAAGCAGCTTTCTTATTTTGTAGAAAGGGAAACATACCCAGAACTGTGAGGGTCCTACATCTGGTTTCTCAGCAAGGTGGTATTTGTGCCAGAAGAAGTTATTCTCTATACTCTTTAAACATTTGCCAATTTCCTTTAATTCCTGGTCTTTAATGATTGTTATATCATATAGGATTATGATACAGACTCTAGACTCTTTGCCTTGATACATAGAAACTACTGCTACACTCAGCAGAAAATATCCTCTTTTCAACTACTAATTTCTTAATTAGCCTAGGTTTGCTGTAGCTGGAATAGGGTGCCCACCATTAGTCTTTGGGGGTGGAAGAGGAAAGTGACTGAGCTTAAAAAAAAAAAAATGTCCCACAGTCAGGATAGATGTTAACGATGGAACAGAGTGAAAAAGAAATCCCTCTTTTGTGTTTTCAGGAGATGCACTTAGAAGACACCACCAGATTCTGTCCAAAGGAAGAAAGAGAAAGTGAACAAACGTCTTTCAGCGATCAAAACCCCAGGCAAGACCAGAAAGGGGGCTTTCGCAGCTCCTTCCGCAAGCTCTTTAAAAAGAAGTGAGTAGCCCTTAGACAAGACAGCATTGTAACTCATTTCCCTTTGGGCTGAGTCTTGAGGTTTTAATAGTAATAAGTATGGAGTAGCCTGGTTTCACACAATGGCTTCAAGCTCAGTGCCTGCTCCCAGTAACCACGATTCATGCAGGTGAAGATGTTTCTCCTTGTAATCTCCTAGAGTAAAAGCAAACTCAGCTCTGTCCTCTGCCTCTTCTATCTTTTAGCCCTACTTCCTTGCTCCCAAAGTCACGTGTCCTGAGCAGAGTGAGCAGAGGTGGTCCCCTGGGAAATGAGCTGGTGACCATGGAATTCCTTTTAGCCTGGGAGGAGTGGGATTCTCTATGGGAGTTGGGAGCAATGGAAAGTTTTCTAAGGCATCTCAGCACTTCTGCCTGTAGGGCCCTAGAGTACTGTTTATTGGGACTTGCAGTGTCTTCCCTATCTGAAATGATTGAATTGATTTGGCTTGGGCCTTAGTTAAAAAAATCACTGTAACGGAGTTTCCACACTCCACAGGAGGCAAAAACAAGCCATTTCCCTTCTCTGGTCCTTCTTTTTGGCCAGCACTTACCATCCCTGTCTTACATACTGGGAGACAGTGGTCTAACCCCAGCACGAAATGTAAGGAACATACTGTGAAAGTCCAGCCATTGCACACCTGAGATACTGCAGTCTCTATTGCCACTGGTCCTCAGGCCTACTTCACTCTTCCTTAGAGAGATTTCCCCCTGCTGCTTAGTTTTTCTTGGTGGAGGAGGGTCTTGCAGTCAGTTTTAAACAGTATGTCTTCATATTTTAGTGGATGGAAAAGTTAAGGACATTATTGCAGCCGTTGGAGAGTTTCTAATAAATGAGGAAGCACAGGAAAATCACGTTCCTAAAGGTAGAGGTTCCTGGGCTGATTTAGATAATGAATTATCTTGATGAAAGAATTGGGGGCAGGCCTGGAGTGAGGACTCTTTTTTTGATGGTTTGTCTAATTCTTCTCCCTTGGGGAGAGTGGTACTGAGATCAGTGGGTCTCTGCTGGTCCTCACCTGTTGTTACTGGAAGAAGGGGAAATAGGCAGAGACAGAAACATGACTCAATCAGAAACAGCTCTACCCTGCAAAGTCCCCTTTCAGTTTCTCTGAGGCAGCCCCATGCACATAGGCATGGCTTTTGCTGCATCCCTTGATTTAGGATGAGGAGTTAAGAATTGTATCTCTCTTTAGGATCACAGACTTAGTGCCTACTTGTGTCAAGAGTAGAGAAACCTGGAGGCAGACAACTCCCCTGCCTGACCTTGGGATTTAGGTTCCTAAATCCTTCTAGCAGTGGTTCTCAACCTTCCTAATGCCGCGACCCTTTAATACAGTTCCTCATGTTGTGGTGACCCCCAACCATAACATTATTTTCGTTGCTACTTCATAACTGTCATTTT